GCGCCCCGACCGTTATTCATAGCGGTTTAACGTTAAATAATTCAACAGTAAATATAAGTCCAGTAGCAGGACTAACTTTCAGTAATCAAACAGGCGGAGGAGACAAAGTTTTAGCGGAGTTTAAAAATGCAACGAGTTATATAACTTTACAAGGAGATAAAATATTTTGTAACAATACATCAGACGATGCTATTAAACAATTAGATTTAACAAATAATAATGCAGGTTATAAAATGTCTGGAAAAATAGAAACGCCGACAGGTGGTCTAGTAGTAGAAAATACAGCAGATGCTAATTTATCATTTACAGTTAGAAATACTGATAATTATATTACTTTTAACAATGATAATATCGATTGTTATAATTCCGTAGGTGATACAGGAAGAATATTAAATCTAAATAATAATGCTAATCAATATGTTAAATCACATTCGTTATTAGTAGATACAGGAGCAAATACATTAACAGGAGGTTATACATTAGATGTTGTTGATAATGCTATCGTTAGACAAAATTTAAGAGTAAATGGTTTAATGGAATTTACGGATGCGAACACAACATTAGACAGATATGTAAATGCTACGAAAGTTAATACATCGCTGGATATTAGAACTGATGAAGACGCTTTAAGATTAATGACAGGAACAGCAACAGATGGAGATACTAATACACATTTAGAATGTGATAAAGCAAATAGTAAAACAGTTTTTTATAAAGATACAGATTTTAGAGGTAATTTAGATTTAACAAATTCAACAGGTGATATTCTACTACCGACAGCGGGGTTTGATATGTTTAGAAATAGTGGAGATGCTAATTATAATTTAAGAATTAGGGACACACAAGGAGTATTTGAATTTAAGAACAGAAATTTTAGATGTATGAACCCGAGTAATCCAGCAAACGGAACGGAAATGATTTTACACGACACAGGAGGCGATTATAGATTACGCATTGGAAGCACAACAACAGCAACAGTAGGAATAGGAAGAGCGTATAATTTTTCATATCATTTAACAGTAGGCGGTGTAAGTAATTTTAACGAAACGAGAGTGGAAAATGACGCAACATTTTTAGGACAACAGTTATTAAGCACTGATGGAAGAATATTTCAAAGAGCAGACGTTAATAATTCATTGAATGTAATATCAACAGAAGAAATTAATTTTAGTCTTCAAACTGATAGAACAACTGACCCTACCACTGGGACGATCTGTCTTCAATTGAATGATACTAACGGAATTACATTAAATAGAGCAGTTACAAATAATCTTACTTTTAATAGTATTGGTAATATCGTTGGTGAGGCTGATGTTATTAGTTGGGGGCGTTTTATGTTTCAGAACAGTAGCGAATTAAAAGAAGTGTTGGATGGACAATATAAATTATTTGTTAGAAATGGTGATACATTAGGTGATATTAATTTAACTGTTGGTTTAGAAAGTAGCACGCCAGAAATTAAAATAACAGATGGTAAAGTTAAGATGAATAATTTAGAAATAACACAAGAAACAATAAGCACCGTAGACCAGATACAGTTTTTAAACACTGATGCAGGTGGTGAGTATGCATTTTATTTTGGTAGTGTTTCAGTAAGTAATGATGTATTTTCAATTTCACCAAGTGGCATTCTCGTTAATGGAGATATTGAATATACTGGGTCTTTAATTCCAAGTTCTGATAAACGATTGAAAAAAGATATTAAGGAACTTAACCAAAAAAAGGCAGTGGAATTAGTTAAATACATTGTCCCAAAAACATATCGTTTTATTGATGACAGACAACAAGGTAAATCGTGTTGTGGTTTTATTGCTAATGATTTTATGGAAACGAAGAAGATGCCAGATGAATGGCAGAATATAGTTAAAGAAGGCAAAGATGGATATTTAAAGTTTGATTATACGTCTTGTGTTCCTATTTTATGGAGTGCTTTACAGGCAACAATAAATGAAGTAGAAGAATTAAAAGATTTAGTGAAAACAATGAAAAAAGAAATGACAACAATGAAGGGAGAAATAACGAAGTTAAAAAGGAAGATTAAAGATGATGATTAATATTTTTCTGAATATTAATGTACAACGTCGTAGGCGTTCTAGATTTATGATTTTATTTTAGAAAATATTTCTAAAATAAAATAATAAGTTTACAATGTCTAATCTTGATGAGACTATTGAGAAGAAATTAGACGAGCAACTACAAAAGATAAAGGGGGATTTAATTATATTTAACACCATCCAAGATTTAACAGAAAAAATTCAAAAATTAGAAGATGAAATAGAAAAGCTAAAAAACAAAAACAAATGTAGCAACAGTGGCAAATGTATGCCGTGTAATTTGTGTAGTTTTTCATTATTTTGATGATTAATATTATATTTAAATAATATTATTAATCAATCACTAATTTAGCATCAAAACGCTTATAAAACATATCATTGACATCTGGCTTCATAAGGTTAATGAATAAGAAACTGTATGGTTCTTCCGTAGCTATGTTATAAACTTCTAACAATAATTTCTTTGCTTCTGCTAGGTTCTTGGCGTCCGCCACCGTTGATTTCTTAATCAAGACGGCGCTTAATTCTTCAACCATTGTCTCTATCTCTTTGTAGTTTCTTAAACGGAAGAAGAACAACTGACGACTATTGACACGGATGATAGGACTTAACGAATTGAACTTTTGAGTAGCTGTTATTATGCAACAGGCTTTATGTCTGCCTCTCACGTATAACTGGTTTAGTAAAGGTGAGTTTCTTGAAAATTCCTTTGAGTCCGCGAAGTCGTCTACAATTATTAATATTGAATGCAATTGTTTATGTCCGTTCTTCTTTTGGTATTCAGATATTTTATGTTGTCTTGATATAACGGCTTCCAATTCTTCGGGCTTGTATTCATCAAAGAAGACCTTTTCCTTTTCCGTATCTACCTTCAATTCTGTTTCAATGTATCGCTTAACAGGTGTCCAGTTAGGGTCAATTGAAACAGACGGCGACCAGACATAAACTCTTGCGAAAACGTCTCTGTAAATGTCTAAAATAAGCGATTGTAAAAGAATTCCTTTGCCACTTCCAGATGGACCTGTTATAATCATTGAGAACGGCAACTTTGGAGCTACTTCATATTTAGATTGTTTGAACTCGTACTCTTTTACGTTTATCGGTTTGACTATTGGAATATTACTCATTAATAATATTTAGAAATTAATTTCTATTAAATCTTGGTGGTGTTTATTGTCACCCGTTGCGAGCCCCCTGTCAATATTCTATACTGTTATAAATACTTACAAATGATAACAGAGTAAGACATTATAACAAGAGAATTCAGAATTCGTTTGTTGAAACAGGAACAACACCATTAAATCTTAAAGCAATTGTTAATAATTATTTTTAATTATTAATAATATAATGAGTGATGATGGTAAGTCTGATAAGAACGGATTTCGCATTGATACAAAAGGCATCTCTTGCATTCCGTGTAGATGCAAGAAACAATTTTATCATAAGGAAACGAAAACAACCACAGAAAACAATGTAACTACAACTAACACCATTGAAGACAGGAGAAATATTAAGTTCGGTTCTGGAAGACATACTTCACCTGATGAAATTTTCAAGCCGGAGAGTGTTTTACAAAGCGGAAGCGTTGAGATATGCGATAATGGATGGGGGTCAAAAGGTGTTACGCCGGAAGAACTGGAAGAAAGAGTTGATAAGCTGGAAACATCTGTTGAAGAAATAAAGAAGGATATTGAAGAAGTAAAGTTGCAAAAAGTGATAATAAGTTTGTAAAATAATATAATATGAAGAAAGAAGATTTTAATATTGATTTTAATGAAAAGCCTAGAATAACAGGAGACGAAGGTAAAATAGATAAGCAATGTGAAAAATGTGGAGGGTTTAGGGACTTGTCAGAGTTTCAGCATAAGATGAAAAACGGTCGTATGAATAAAACGTGTAGAAGGTGTTTAGATAGGTCGTGTAAATATCATATGAAACATTTACTTCTGGCACAGGATAGGATTATAGCAGAAGACAATAATTAACATTAATTATATTGATAATTAATGCTAATTAATCTAGTGTTTCCAATCACCTATACCATTCCAGCATTCGCTAATTTGTGTTTTTATAGGATATAAAATTTCTACTACTTCATCGTGTTTCATTTTTAACTTTTCTGTTTTATCACCTAAAATATTAACTATAACATAATAGTTTTCAACCATTGCTACTTTACCCCCTCTATTGTTAATCTTTTTACCGTTTTCTTTGATTAGCTTTTCATCCATTATATTTTCATATATCTCTTTCATCCATTTGTGATTTTCTCTTCCATATTCACTTAACATATTGAACACTTCTTGTTTTAAGATATCAATTGGCACTGCGCGAGCCATATCATTTAATGTTTCTATAACTTCTTCATATTTTGGGTAGGGGTTATTCTTAATAAAAGATTTCACTTTCTTAACAGTCTTCTCTGTCTCACTCATTGTTTTCTCACTAATATTATAAGGCGTTTTGTCTTTAAGACCTTTTGTCTTGGGCGAAAGCGATTTAAAATGAACGTTGAATAAAGAATGTAGTAATGGAAAACGTATCTTTATATGTGAAACATCGTTGTATGTTATGTGGTAAGGATATTGATAAATACAAATTTTTGAGCCGGCACTTGAATAGCAAAATACATAAGCAGAAGATGGAAGAAATAAAACGAGAAAGAGAAATTATGAAAGTTATGAATAAAACAGACAAATTGAGAGAGCTAGATGAGAGAATGGAAAACATAATTGTTAGTTACAGGGTTCATTTTGAAGATTAGTTTTCATAATAATTAATTATGAAAATTAAGTAAGGTTCACGCCTAGGTTCGCGGACAGGGGGTTTGGGTAAGATTGTTGGGTTAGGTTCGCTTGGATGGGGTTTGGGGAAGATTGGGGTTTGGGGTTTTGGTAGGTGGGGGTTGGGTTGATAGGAGAATTGGTAAGAATGGTGGTTAGGAGAATGATTAAGGTCTTTTGGGCGGTGTGGTTGTAGGATTGAAGGTATGATGGGTATGAGGGTTTATGGGTATGATGGTTATGAAGGGTTCTGGGTAAGAATGGTTATCGGGTGATATGGCGGGACGGTAGTCCGTGAACTGGGGCGTGACCCCCCCTAGCTCCTAGACCCTAGACCCTAGACCCTAGACCCTAAACCCTAAACCCTAAACCCTAAACCCTAAACCCTAAACCCTAAACCCTAAACCCACGTCTGCGGCTCAGGGATTCAAACCCCTTCGCAGTTCTCATGATTCCCTTCTCCCTGCGCCCTCTAACCCCCCCCAAGGTCGCTTCATACCCTGAAGCTTAAACCCCGAACCCTTGAACTCCCTCCCTCTCCCCCCTCCCCCGTCCCCCGTCCCCAAATAGGGTCCCCAAGTACTATCCCAAAGGGTATGGAATTTAGGGTGCCAACCTTAAACCTTGCACCCTAAACCCTAAACCCTGAGCCTTGAACCCTAAACCCTGAACCCAAATCCCTGTTTTTGGAAATCTCGCCCCCGTCCCCCCCCCCCCCCCCCCCCCCCCCCAAACAAAAAAGAAAAGCACAAATAGAAAAACAAAAAAGCAAACATCTCAGGAGCTCGGCAGCAGGCCTGGTGCGTCAGGCTTTGCTGCCTGGCTCCAAGGCCCGATCCAGTAGGGGTGAGGGGTTGAGGGTTTTAGGGTCAGGGTTTAGAGGTTAGGGTTCAGGGCTTCGGGTTTAGGGTTGAGGGTTTAGGGTTCTTGCGGTTTAGGGTTTAGGGTTTAGGGTTTAGGGTTTGGGGTGCAGGGTGTAGGCATGGCTCCTGGGTCTGTGCTCCTGGATTTTGGGTTTTGGGTGTAGGTCTAGGATCAGAGCTCGGGATCCAGCTTGCCTAAACCCTAAACCCTAAAACCCTAAAACCCTAAAACCCTAAAACCCTAAAACCCTAAAACCCTAAAACCCTAAAACCCTAAAACCCTAAACCCTAAACCCCAAACCCTAAACCCTAAACCCTAAACCCTAAACCCTAAACCCTAAACCCTGAACTTCCCTAAGAGCCCTGATCTTGATAGCGACTCTGGAAGGTGGACTTCCCGCAGATCACCGAGCTGCCCGGCCGCTTTTTGTAGGGGGCTTTTCAGGGCTCAGGGGTCTAAGGGTTTAGGGTTAAGGGTTTAGGGTTTAGGGTTTATGGTTAGGGTTCTTTGTTCTTGGGTTTTGGGTTCTTGGGGTTTAGGGTTGTTAGGATTTACTCAGGGTTCTTGGGTTCTTGGGTTCTTGGGTTCTTGGGTTCTTGGGTTCTTGGGGTTTAGGATTCTTGGGTTTGGGGGGTTTAGGATTTAGGGTTCTTGCGGTCTAGGGTTCTGGGGGTTTAGGGGTTCTTAGGGTTTAGAGTTCTCGCTGAGGGTTCAGGGTTCTTGGGTTCTTAGGGCTTGGCGCTCTTAGGGTTCTGGACGCCTTCAATGGTCGAAAGGCGTGGGGTGGAAGATCCTGAACTGCGACGAGGAGGTGGTGGACACCTCGAAATCGGTTCCGTGGGGCGAAGGACAGCAGTGCGACTCGCGCGGAGCTTGACGTGCCGCAAGGGCAAGCTTTCCGGATCCGATGCGGCGGCGGCGGAGGAGGGTTCTTGGGCTTAGAGTTGAGAGTTCTTGAGGTTTGGGGGTTCTTAGGGTTTGCAGTTCTTGGGCTGCTGGGGTTCTTAGGGTTTAGAGTTCTTGGGGTTTAGGGTCCTTGGGAAGTTTAGCGTTCTTGGGGTTTAGGGTTCTTGGGGTTTAGGGTGTAGGGCTAAGGTTCAGGTATCTTGCCTTCAGGTCTCAGCGTGCTTGAGGTTAGGAGTTCCCAAGACAGAAGGGTTTAGGGTTTAGGGTTTCGGCTTTAGGGTTTAGGGTTTCGGGTTTATCGGGTTTCGGGTTAAGGGTTCGGGTTTCGGGTTAAGGGTTTTTTGGGTTTTTTGTTGCAAGCCCTAAAGCTCAAAGCCTAAACCCAATGATATTTCTCCCTCCGGACTCTAAACGGTAAAGCCCAAACCCCAAACCCCAAACCCAAACCATAAACCCCAAACCCTAAACCCTTAACCCCAAACCCTAAACATCCCAAAACCCTAAACTCTAAACCCTAAACCCTAAACCCTAAACCCTAAACCCTAAACCCTAAACCCCAAACCCAAGCCGAAGCCTGAACCGAGGATTTGTGAACTGCTGGCGGCGAAGCCGCAGGAGGCGCCGTCTCTTCGAAGTAAAGGGCTTGGCGGTTTAGGGTTTAGGGTTTAGGGTTTAGGGTTTAGGGTTTAGGGTTTAGGGTTTAGGGTTTAGGGTTTAGGGTTTAGGGTTTAGGGCTTTGGGTGGAGGATCCTCGCTGACACATCTAGCAGAGCCCCTAAGCCCTCAACTCAGCCTTAATCTTGCAGCCTAAGCCCTACATCCTGAACCCTAAACCCTAAACCCTAAACCCTAAACCCTAAACCCTAAACCCTGAACCCTGAACCTGAACCCTGAACCCTAAACCCTAAACCCTAAACCCTAAACCCTAAACCCTACAAAACCCTAGTGAAGAGGCCGCCCGCGTTCCTTCCGGCTGAGGGATGAAGCTGAAAGCAAGCTGGAAGCCCTGCACCCTAAACCCTAAACCCTGAACCCTAAACCCTAAACCCTAAACCCCAAACCCTAAACCCTAAACCCTAAAACCGCCCTTAACCTTCCACCCCTCTCATGGGCCCGAAGCCCGCAACCCCTAATCTAACCCCTAAACGCTCAACCCTCTAAGCCCTGCATAAACCCCAGTATCCCTCCAAATCCTATAAAACCCTATCAACCTGATAAAGCCCTACTCAAAACCCCGAAGCAAAAGCCAATGAAAGAGGCGCCAGAAGCAGTGAAGCTGCTGGTGAGCGCCCTCCGGGACAAGGCGTAACCGCTCCCCAGCCCTTAGTTTTAGGCCCTCAATGCTAGACCCTGGACCTTGGACCCTGGAGCCTATCCCTACAAGGTCCAGCGGTTTGATTTCACCTCAGGGGTTTTCCTGTTGCTGGACGACGGGAAGTTTTGGAGCTTTCACCCTGAACCCTCAAGCCTTAAAGTCAACCCCCAAAACCCTAAACCCTGAACCCTGAACCCTGAACCCTGAACCTTGAACCTTGAACCTTGAACCTTGAACCACACGGTTTTGGTCTCGGGAACCTTCCAAAACTTTGCTAGCCTGACTCCGAGGCCCTCGATTCTAACAACCCCCTCAGACCTGGAATCCATCCGGCCTTGTCCACGAGGATGGTAAACCCCGAGCTCTTTGCCCACCTGTTTCGTTGAATCCTACACCCCAAAAACCCTAACCCTAACCCTAAACCCTAAGCCCTAAACCCTAAACCCTAAACCCTAAACTCTAAACCCTAAACCCCGAACCCCACCAGTCCCAGCATCCTAGAGACCCCCGACTCGGGGAAAGGTGCGTTGAGGGTCTCGGGATTGCAGGTTGAGGGTGTTTTTGGCCTTTAGCGACCTCGGGAGGGTTCCCCTAGATCCTAAACGCCTTCGCGTTTAGGGTTTCGGGTTTCGGGTTTCGGGTTTAGGGTTTAGGGTTTAGGGTTTAGGGTTTAGGGCACCTCGAATCCCCGATGTTCTTCTCAGGACGCTCCAGTTCGCAAGAAGCTGAAGGCCCTCACGATCACGAATGACGCCTGGATCCGCGCTAGGTGGGGGTTTAGGGTTTAAGGTTGAGGGTTAGGGTTTGCGGTCTTTTGGTAGCCCAGTGGTACTGTTTGGTTCAAGTTTCCCTAAAAAGTATCCAACCCCAAAAGGGTGCCCTTATGATGATAGGGTTACTGGGCTGCCAGGGGGGTTTGGGGTTGAGGGTTTCCGGCTTTCAGGGTTTAGCGTGTAGGGTCCTTGAGTCCTGTTCTTGTTAAGGAACTTAAGCTATTGTATCATAAAAGCTAGTTGTATTTATAAACAGCAAGGTACCCTTGTCATGGTATCTGAATCCAAGTGCCTGAGAAGACTCAAGCCTCTCGGGCTTTAGGCCCCTGGTTCCTGACACCTTCAGCCCCCTCAATCGCCTTAACCCGGGAGGCTCACCCCTTGGGGCCCCTTGGGTGCGGTTTCGGGTTCAGGGTTCAGGGTTCAGGGTTCAGGGTTTAGGGTTTAGGGTTTAGGGTTTAGGGTTTAGGGTTTAGGGTTTAGGGTTTAGGGTTTAGGGTTTAGGGTTTAGGGTTTAGGGCTTAGGGTTTAGGGTTTAGGGCTAGTCCTACTTTCGTTTGGTTTTTTTCTCTCATGAAGCCCGCAGCCTAAGGAGATGCTCTACGACGAGCGAGCCGTCCTGTGCTTTCGGGAGGCCCCCAGGGGCTGCTTAGAAGCTTCGCAGCCCGGCACCGGCATCTTGAAACCCTGGAGCACCCTGTAAATCCTAAACCCCAAACCCCAAACCCCATACCCAAAACCCCGAACCCCGAACCCCAAACCCCAAACCCTAAACCCTAAACCCTATAAAACCTAAACCCTAACCCCAAGCCCTAAACCCTACACTCTATAAATCCTAAACCCTGAACCCACAAACTCCTGTAACATGGAATCCGTTTTGGACCGGAATCGTCATGTCTGTCCCCCCTTGATGGCTTGCGGGGCTAGTGGTCTGCTTCCCGTGGCTCTTGTCGAGGGTCCACCTTAATGCCGCATATGGACGAGAGAGAGAGAGAGAGAGAGACAGAGAGAGAGAGAAAAAATGACACCGACTGAGAGACAGAGAGACAGAGGGACAGAGGGACAGGGGGACAGGGGGACAGACAGACAGAGAGACAGAGAGACACTCTTGAACCCAAATAGTGAAAGTATAAAGTTCCCACCATCCCATCGATGAAGCTTCGGGGCCTGGGTCAGAACCAGAGTCCGAGACCAGAAAAGTTCAGGGCTTAGGGCTTCAGAAACTAAAGCCTTGAACCCTGAACCCTAAGTCCTGAGTGTTTTTTCTTGGGGGGGGGGGGGGGGGGGGTTCAGAAACCAAAGCCTTGAACCCTGAACCCTAAGTCCTGAGTATTTTTTCTTGGGGGGGGGGGGGGGGGGGGGGGGGGGGGGGGGGGGGGAGGGTTGATTAGCAAGTTTGGCAGGAGGGCGTCAGACAACATGGGAGTTATTTCCCAAACATAGGGTTTCGCTTGAGGGTTGCATGCCTGATGTATCCAAGTACTTGAACCAAGGGACTCTCTCTCTCTCTCTCTCCGTCTCCTTGTCTCTCTGTGTCTCTGTGTCTCTGTGTCTCCCTGTCTCCCTGTCTCCCTGTCTCCCTGTCTCCCTGTCTCCCTGTCTCCCTGTCTCCCTGTCTCCCTGTCTCCCTGTCTCCCTGTCTCTCTAGCACTCCTTCTCAAAGGGCTTCAACGGCCAAGCTGAACCCTAAACCCTGAACAATAAACCTTAAACCCTAAACCATGAGACGAGGAGTCCGGCCCTTAGTTCGAGGCAGCCCAAAACCCAAAACCCTATATACCTTAAACTCTGAAATCTTGTGGGCCCGAAACTCCCTGCAACCTTAAACCCTACAAAACTTAAACCCCGAAGCCTGCTAAGGTATTGGTACATAAATGCGAAGTTTACACCCCCCATGTTCATGGCAGGAATGGTACGATCTGGGACTCACCAACAGCACCAAAAGCTGGCCGAGAGATGGTGTTAGGGTTTAGGGTTTAGGGTTTAGGATTTAGGGTTTAGGATTTAGGGTTTAGGGTTTAGGGTTTAGGGTGGTTCGACCTTCAGCCAGAGCCCATTCAAAAGAACCCAATCTCCACTTCGACTCCTTCCCTCCTGCGATGGTCCTGCGTGGATACGACCGGACCCAGCCCACACTTATGCCATAGGAGGTTTAGGGTTGAGGGTTTAGGGTTTAGGGTTGAGGGTTTAGGGTTTAGGGTTTAGGGTATAGGGGCAAGGACATGGCTGCCTCCTCGATCGTGTTGCTGGCCCGCCTTGGGGTGTTTGGACGATGCGGCATGAACAAGCGACCTTCGCTCGTTTCAAAAGCTGGTGCAAGGCTGCGCACAAAACCACATCGATAATTGAGTTTCCCAAGCAAAGACTCTTGATCACAAAGCTGCTTGGCTTAGGCCCGGATCATTAAATGTTATGCTAGATTGGTTTATGTCCATACTATGCATGTAGTATACAGCATGAGCTAGAAGGGTCTAAATGTGCCAGCTAGGTGGAAGGGCTTTGATGCGGCAGTGCTTGGAGACGCTTTCAGAGGCCCCTTCGCTGCCGGCCGCGCTCGCCACATTGCGGGTGCTGCAGGACGCATGTGCCGTTTAGGGTTTAGGGTTTAGGGTTTTGGGTTTAGGGTTTAGGGTTTAGGGTTTCGGGTTTCGGGTTTAGGGCACAAGTGCACGAAAGCAGCCTGGACCGCAGGGTCCCGTTTCGGGTGTGGGCGCATGTGGCATTCCCGAGGGTCTTGTTTGGTGTGAGGGGGGCTTGTCTTCAATCAATGAGTGGCCTGTTGGGGAGACCTTGTCATAAGGAGCCCTGTGGTACAAAGGTCTCCTGACGTAGAGCAATCCCCTTGCTGAGCCATAGTATTCATGGGCTTCCCTACTACCCCTTTAAATAACCTTAATTGGGCTTAATTAGCCCTAAATAGCCTTAATTATGGGGGAACCTAGGGTGGGGGAGGTATAGAGGGGAGGTAGTACCCCTAAACCCTAAACCCTCCTAAACCCTAAACCCTAAACCCTAAACCCTAAACCCTAAACCCTAAACCCTAAACCCTAAACCCTAAACCCTAAACCCTAAACCCTAAACTCGACACGTTGACACCCTGGCAGGATTCCGGCTTGAGCGAGTCATGGCCTTAGATGGGCCCGTGGCTCCTTCAATTAGGGTTTAGGGTTTAGGGTTTAGGGTTTAGGTTTTAGGGTTTAGGGTGGTTGGACCTTCAGCCAGGCACCCTCAGAGGGCTTCTTTGCCTAGATTCTGGCCTCAATCATGTGGGTGTCCCCGTACGTCCCTTAAACAAACCCAACCAGGGACGACTCGGAGAACTGGCCAAGTCACACCCCGAAGCCCCACAACCCAGGACCGGTAGGGTTTAGGGTTTAGAGTTTAGGGTTTAGGCTTTGGGGTTTAGGGTTTAGGGTTTAGGGTTTAGGGTTTAGAGTTTAGGGTTTCGGGAAACCCCTCAACTCCCCCTGAGAAAAACAGCATGTATTTATACACATATAAAATGACGATACGCGTATGTATGTATGTACATATATATATATAATATGTGTACTGAACGCTCTAGTTGGCTGCCGGGCTGTGAAGGTATGTGGATGAGAACATCCGCATGCTGGCAACTGAGATTGACAAGGCAGCCCTTCCTAAACCCGATAATTTCTAAACCCTAAGCAGCCTTAATCCCTATAAACCCGATAAACCCTAAACCTTCAACCCTATAAACCCGAAACCTTAAACTCTATAAACCCTAAAACTTAAGCCCTAAACCCTACACCCTAAACCCTATAAACCCTAAACCTATAACCCTGAACCCTAAACCCTACACCCTAAACCCTATAAACCCTAAACCTATCATCCTGAACCCTAAACCCTACAGATCCAGGGTGAAGGGAAGGGGTTTTTTGTTGGGGGCTTGGGGGGGCCTTAATCGTGTCGCCTCTGTAATTTCTGATTCGGCTCCTAAACCCCAAGCCCCAATGACCTTGCCCGAAGTCCTATATAAACCCAAATACCCCCTGCCCTAAACCCTACTCCCCAAACCCAAATGCCCAAGCCCAAAACCCTACACCGACAAGTGCCCTAAACCCTAAGCCCTACACCCTACACCCCAAGCTCCGTCAGGTGTGCTTCTCGGAAGCAGGGGGCGCACCAGGTCACGCCAGTCGCCTGCGGGGGCAGCTGGGCATGTGATCGGGTTTAGGGCTCAGGGCTCAGGGTTCAGGGTTTAGGGTTTAGGTTTACTTCTCTGGCTCATGGTCTTTTTTTTTTTTTGGGGGGGGGGGGTTAGGGGTACAGGGTTGAGGGCTTCTTTCAGATCCTTGGCAATTTCTAGACTTTTCGGGGTTAGGGCTTTCAGGTTTTCAGGGATTTGAGTGTTTTGCGTCCAGGTTGGCCAGCAGTCCATGTGTGGGTGGAACAAGAAGAGGGCACCCTTTACGTACTGCGGGATCTAGTTGATGTTAATCCCTAAGGTCCAATAAGCCCTAACCCCTGCCCTATTTAAGAGCCTCCGGCTCAAGCCGCCGACCCCGCTGGAGCATAGTTGAGAGGTCTAAACCCGCTCGCATGGTTCGAAGATCATCCCAGCCTGCTCGGCAGAGTTTTGTGAAACGTTTGGGGGGGGGTAGGGAGTAGCACTGGGACAAGCCCAAGCCAAAAAGACAGAGAGCGGGGGGTGGCGGGGTTGGGGGGGTTGTGGGGGGGGGGGGGGTAAACGTTGATTTTGTTCAGGGCGCCCCCCTACCCCCCTGCTGCATTGTGCACCGACCCCCCCTACCCCCCCCCCCCCCTTGTTGGGGGGGTAAGAAGGGAAAGAGGGAGGTTTTCACCTCCTCAAACCCATCCAACACACCGCCAGGGTCGGCGGAAACCCTAACCTTAAAACCTAAACCCAAAGCTCTAAACCCTAAACCCTAAACCGATGCCGCGTCGGCCATCCTAGAAATCTCCAAACCACTCTATGAATCCTATAAACCCTGTAAACCCCCAAAATCCTATAAGCTCTCTAAATCAGACCCATATACGCCGATAGCCCCATAAGCCAGAAAAACCTACACTAGGGGCTTAGGGAGTGGGGTTTCGGGTTTAATTTATGGGGGTTTAGGGGTTAGGGGTTTAGGGTTTTAGGGTTTTTGGGGTTAAGGGCTCGGGGTTTAGGGGTTTAGGGTTCAGGGATTTGGGAGGTTGGTGTTTGTGCATGTGATCTTGCGGACGGGTTTGAGGGTTTGGGGGTTTCGGGTTTAGGGGTTTGGGGCTCCGGGCTTCCCAACCCGAGATGAACTAAGAAATGCAAAGGACCCTAGACCCCAAACCCTAAACCCCTAACCCCTAACCCCGGAATCCCCTAATCCCAAAACCCCGAAACCCCTACCTAGCCCCTAAACTCCAAACCCTAAACCCTAAACCCCTAGCCCCAAACCCCCTAAACCCCCTAAACCCCCAAACCGCCTAAACCCTAAACCCTAAACCCCAAAATCGCCTACTACCTCACAGCCCAGGTTGGGGTCTGCCTTGCGGAACAACCTCGAGGCTGCTTTCTGGACTTAGGAGTTCAGGGTTTGGGAAAGGGTTTAGGGTTTAGGGTTTAGGGTTTAGGGCTTAGGGCTTAGGGCTTAGGGCTTAGGGCTTGGGGTTTGGGATTTCGGGCTTCAGGGCCTTCGGGTTTCGGGGTGACAGCGGCGGGGCTCATAGGGGGGCCTGCGATGCTGCGATGGAAGCGGAAGGGTTCCGGTCTAGGTACCCCCTAAACCCTAAACCCTAAACCCTAAACCCTAAACCCTAAACCCTAAACCCTAAACCCTAAACCCTAAACCCTAAACCCTAAACCCTAAACCCTAAACCCTAAACCCTTAAACCCTAAACCCTTAAACCCTTAACCTAAACCCTAAACCCTAAACCCTAAACCCTAAACCCTAAACCCTAAACCCTAAACCCTAAACCCTAAACCCTAAATCAGAAACCTAAGCCCTAAGCCCTAAAGCCCCGGGCCTTGGGACTTCTTGAGACATCAGCTGCTTCGTTCGCATCAGGTTCGTGGCAACGTTGCCTCCAGTCTCGACCCTTCAAGTCATGGTCGGCTGGCCCAAGACCCGGCTCGCCCGATCAACCTGGCAGCTCTCGACAGGTGAAGTCTGCTTGTTTAGGGCTTAGGGCTTAGGGTTTAGGGTTTAGGGTTTAGGGTTTAGGGCTTAGGGTTTAGGGTTTAGGGTTTAGGGTTTAGGGCGAAGTCTACTTGGAGTCGGCCGCCCTGGCCCAAATGCAGGAGCTGCTTGGAAGAGTGCTCAGATGACCTTGGGCCGCAAAACAGAATGAAGCCCTGAGAGCTCTGTAACCTAAACCCTAAACCCTAAACCCTAAACCCTAAACCCCAAACCCTAAACCCTAAAACCCTCAGACCCCAAACCTGACAACCCTCAAGCCCCAAACCCTGAACCCCAAAACCCTAAACCCTAGAACCTGATCCCTGACACCCTAAACCCCAGTCGTGTTTGGAGGATCCCAACAAAGTAGAACCCCCAAATCGTAGCCTATGCTACTATTGGGACATTGTTAGGAACCCTTTAAGGGGATCTACTTTTTGGATCCTCCCAGGGGTCTAGGTCGTTGGGAGGGGTAGCCTAAACCCTAAACCCTGAAACCCGAAACCCTGAAACCATGAAACCCTGAAACCCTGAAACCCTGAAACCCTGAAACCCTGAAACCCTAGACCCTAAACCCTGAACCCTAGACCCAAGACCCTAGACCCTAAACCCTAAACCCTACACCCTAAACCCTAAACCGATGCGCAGGCTGTGTCGGACAAGTTCCGGCGGCCTGCCGTCGACGAGGCCGAGCATTCGAAAAGAGAATGTACGGGGCTTCGGGGTTAGGGTTTAGGGTTTAGGCTTTTGGGGTTAGGGTTTAGGGTTTTGGGTTTTGGGTTTAGGGTTAGGGTGCACCTTGAACCCTGAGTACTAAACCCTGAAGGACTTTGAGGTGTTAGAGGCTTCAGGCGCTGAGGGGCGCCTGAAAACTCAAAAAGACTTGGGTATACTGAGAGTATGTTTTAATATTTCTTATTCTTTAGGGTTTAGGGTTTAGGATGTCGGGTTGACCAGCCAAGGGTCAAGACCCTGTACTTAGGAGGGAGGAGGCAACTAAGTAATAGCCCAAAACCTTAAACCCAAAACCCCCTAAATCCTACCCGCACAAACCGGGAGTCCCAAACTCCAAACCCCAAGCCCAAACTCTACAAAGCCCTAAAGCCTGAAGCCTAAAGCCTAAACCCGAAACCCTAAACCGCGTAAACCCTAAACCCTAAACCCTAAACCCAAAACCCAAAGCCCAAAACCCAAAACCCTAAACCCTAAACCCTAAACCCTAAGCCCTAAGCCCTTAACCCTTAACCCTAAACCCAAGCCCAAACTCTGCCTCGCAACAATCTAGCCCCTGCCTGCGGACAGGGCGGCAAGCCAATTCCAGAGAACACGCGCCCTGGATGCGGCTTAGGGTTTAGGGTTTAGGGTTCAGGGTTCGGGGTTTAGGGTTTAGGGTTTAGGGTTTAGGGTTTAGGGTTTAGGGTTTCGGGTTTAGGATTCAGGGTTCAGGGTTTAGGGTTCAGGGTTTAGGGTTCCCTCACCCCTAAACCCAGGGTTGTTTAGGAGCTTCCACGTTTCATGGGTTGCCACAAGCTTCTGGGTTTCTGGACTTTTTCAGGTGCTGTGGGGATGAACCCTGAAACCTACAACCCCGAGCCTTAGACCCTGAACCCTAAACCCTGAGCCCGGAACCCCAAACCCTAAACCCTAAACCCTAAACCCTAAACCCTAAACCCTAAACCCTAAACCCTAAACCCTAAACCCTAAACCCTAAACCCTAAACCCGAAACCCGAAACCCGAAACCCGAAACCCTAAACCCTAAACCCTAAACCCTAAGCCCTAAGCCCTAACCCCCAAGCCCTAAACCCTAAACCCTGGACCCTAAACCATAAACCCTAAACCCTAAACTCGAACCCTAAACCCTAAACCCTAAACCCAAAACCCTAAACCCTAAACTTTCAACCCTGAACCCTGAGTCCCGGCCGGGAGTAAGGGAGTTTTTGCCTTTGCTCCGCAAAGGTTTTCCCAGGCCCCCCCGGGAGGATCCAAAGAGTAGATCCCCTTGAAGGGTTCCTAAGAATGACCCAATAGTAGTATAGGGTACTATTTGGGGATTCTACTCTTTTTGGATCCTCCCAGGGGGTAGGACCTCTTAGTTCCAAACCAAAGCCTCTTTACCCCCTTCCCGCCAATGTCTTCCCCCCACCTCGGAAAGATGGACCCCATGGTAATCATGGGGTGGATGCGGATCCTCATGTAGGGCTTGTATAACCCAGTAGTCCTCATGATTCTGAGGCAATGAAGCCGAGCCCTTCTTGCTCTTCGTAGTAGAGAGTTCAGCTGACCTTAGGATGTCTCTGTGCCTCGAGGTTGCGCTGCTCAGTGGCAGAAGCGTGCACATCACAACCAGTGGTGAGTGCACAGTCGACACCGTCAGGCATGAGGCAGAGAGCCGCCTCCAAAGCGGGCTGGGCACGTTGCTGAATGCTTCCGGCGAGCGCCTGTGGGGGAAGCATACAGTGGAGCAAGCTGGCATGCAAAGCGGAGACGTGCTGACTCTGCACGTGCGGGTTCTCATTGCGGCCTCAAGATGGTCCTTCTGCGCCGTGCGAGGTGACGGCTCCGTCGTCACCTGGGGAGCCGCGAAGTCCGGTGGCGACAGCACCTCCGTGCAGGATCAGCTCCGGAACGTCGTGGAGGTCAAGGCAAACGCCAGGGCATTTGCTGCAATCTTGAGCGACAGGTCGGTAGTAACCTGGGGGTGCCCGAAGCACGGTGGTGACAGCAGGTCCGTCCGTGAGAAGCTTGTCAAAGTTCAATGCATCCAGTCTTCAGACATGGCCTTCGCTGCTTTGCTCGTAGATGGGTCCGTCGTGACTTGGGGCTGCGCCGGAGAAGGTGGCGACAGTAGTTCCGTCCAGACGCAACTGAAGAATGTGCAGGCAATCCAAGCGACGGAATCCGCTTTTGCAGCCATCCTTGCCGATGGCTCCGTGGTGACGTGGGGCGGCTCTGGCGGCGACAGCAGCTCTGTTCAGCATCTGCTTGTGAATGTGCAGTGTATCGGGGCATCAGAAGGGGCTTTTGCTGCTGTGCTTGGCAATGGCTCTGTTGTGACGTGGGGCGACCCCGAGAGTGGCGCGGACAGTAGCTCTGTCCAGGAACAGCTTGCGAACGTGCAGTCCATCCAGTCAGCAGACTCGGCATTTGTTGCTCTGCTTGCAGATGGGTCCACCGTGACTTGGGGCGATCTTGGTGAAGAAGAGGGTTGTTGCGTTCGACCAGACTGGCTAGGGAGCGTGCAGCATGTCCAGGCCACATCGGGTGCATTCGCCGCTTTGCTGGATGATGGGTCAGTTGCAACTTGGGGCGATCGCGGCTACGGCGCTGACAGCAGCCGGGCAACGCGGGAGCTGCGCAACGTGCAGCAAGTCCAAGCCTCTTCGGGAGCCTTTGCCGCCCTTTTGGAGGATGGATGTGTTGCGACCTGGGGTGAGAGGCACTTCGGGGGCGAGAGTCGTTCAGTGCAGGAGCAGCTGCGTGAGGTGCAGTGCGTTCAGGCCTCAGGGGGGGCATTCGCTGCCGTGCTGCGCGACGGGTCGGTTGTGACTTGGGGTGCTTCGGACTCCGGTGGTGACAGCAGTTGCGTTCAGGGTCAGCTCCAGAATGTGCTGCATGTGCAAGCATCCGAATGTGCCTTTGCGGCAATCCGCGGCGACGGCTCCTTTGTGTTCTGGGGGGACGCTGAAGCCAGCAACTATGTTCTCAACGATTCCAGCGACTCTGACTAGGAGCCTCATGTCTTTGCAAGGGCTTGGGGAGCGCAGAAGGTTCCCCAGCCATCGCGTACGATTCTGTCATGCCCCTGTGTCGGTGCCTATAGATTCTGCTCGCTGTCGTGCTGGGGTGGTGAGTTCCTATCAGTTTAGAATCGTGTGTGGTGTGGCATCTCACTAGCGAATTGTCTCATCGTATTTACAGTAATTACGTGCCATGGGCAAGCTACAACTGTCTAGCTTACCTGGTAGTGCGTAGTGCATAGTCGGAATAGCAACGGTAGCAAAAGCACAGTGCATTACGGGTCGTTCCCCAACTTGAACCCTAAGCCTCCAACCTGAAGCCCAGGACCTACTAAACCCTAAACCAGCGGAGCCTTAAAAGCCCTCAGAAAACACAAAGCCTTGAAACCACCCTAAGCCCAGAACCCCAAACCCTAAACCCAAAGCACCTCACCTCTAAACCCTAAGCCCCAAACCCTGAACCCCGAACCTGAGACCCCAAACCCCAAACCCTAAACCCTCCAAGCAAGGTTCTTCTTCGATGAGCGCCATCAGTGCGAGCCCTGAGGGCCAAGGGTTGAGGGTTTAGGGTTTAGGGTTGTAGTGGTGTTTGGATTGTTGCTGAGAGGCGTTTGGGCTTTAGGGTTGGGGATCGGGCTCTGTTCCCGAAGCCCGCAAGTCCAGGACCCGTGAGCCCTACGGAAAGCATGAAGACTTGAGGCGTTGGCGACAGCGAGGTGTTCCTGACGGCTTGGATGACGCAGTTCTGAACTCAGTAAGCCTGCCCAAAGGTCTGTCTGCCTGTCTGTTTGTCTATCTCTAGTCCGGCTGGTTGTCTGTCCAGCTGTCTATTCGTCTATCTGTATCTCTCCTCGCAATACGCACTTTTACATCTCCATCTCTGTCTCCCTCTTCCACTCACTCCCCCTCTTCCTCCCGTCCTTGTGTCACGCAACATGCCTCTACCGATCCCAGTGGACAGCTCCACTACTTAGGGTTTAGGGTTTAGGCTTTAGGGTTTAGGGTTTAGGGTATTTGGCTTGCAACATCCAACTTGGAGTAGTTCAGGGAAGGGCGGTGCGATCGCCCCTGGGGTTCTCCAGATTCTGGATCCACGTCCACGTCCCAATCCCATGTCACGTCATTCTAAGCCCCTAAGCCCCTAAGCCCCTTAAGCCCCGAAGCCCCGAAGCCCCGAAGCCCCGAAGCCCCTAACCCCCTAAGCCGCCTAAGCCCCCAAGCCCCTAAGCCCCCAAACCCCTAAGCCCCTAAGCCCCTAAGCCCCTAAGCCCCTAAGCCCCTAAGCCCCTAAGCCCCTAAGCCCCTAAGCCCCTAAGCTCTTAATGGTTCCCACCAAAGATGATGCAGAATGCCACATCTTCAGGCATCAAGCTTTCCCTGAACATCTTCTCATAAACCGAAGCCGAACAAGCATTCCAGGTTAGGTCACCTGAACCCAACCGTTAACCCTAAGCCCCAATTTCCCTAAACCAGTCAAATTTCTTCATGAAGCCGACTCCCGGTAAATCGCGAAGGCCTGCTGAGAGTTGAATTCCAGTCATTGTCTCCAAAAAACACGGCCGGGTTTTAGGCTTTAGGTGGTTTCACAGACCCGAACCCCTCAGACCTGAACCCTTAGACCCTTAAACCCACCCCTAAGCCTAAACCCTAAACCCTTAACCCCAAACCCCAAACCCTAAACCCTAAACCCCAAACCCTAAACCCTAAACCCTAAACCCTAAACACTGAACCCTAAACCCTTAGCACGAAAGCCCGCGCTGAGGCCCCGGCACCTTCTCCAGGTGCCGGTCCGCTTGTAGTAAACAAGGGTTTAGGGTTTAGGGCTTGGGGTTTAGGGTTTAGGGTTTAGGGCTTGGGGTTTAGGGTTTAGGGTTTGGGGTTTAGGATTTAGGGTTTGGGGTTGAGGGTTTTGGGCTCAGGGTTTCAGGTCGGTTTAGGGTTTTGGGTTAGGCTGCAGATCGGTCTGAGCCCAACCTTGATACATGAAAGTTCATGTTATCAGTACGGGTTTAGGGTTAGGGTTTAGGGTACCCCAATGCTAAAGGAGGGACCCCTGTGAGGGACCTTAGGGGGATCCTTGGGGCTTGTTTGGGGCTACTTAGGTATATAGGGACTGTATAAGGTGTGTATATATACATACATATATAGAAGGTTTAATATAGGGGAATAAGAATAAGGGTCCCTTTGAGGCCCCCCCCCCCCCCCTATACCCTGAACTGAACCTTCGACCCTCGAGTTAACCACCATAAGCCCCGCACCCAGAGCCCTCCTCGCTCAAGGGTTTTGCGGCTTTAGGGTTCCGGATTCTGGGGGTAAGTTTAGGTTTTAGGGTTCAGGATTCTCGGTTTAAGTTTAGGTGTTAAGGTTCAGGAAGTTGGGTTTAGGGTTTAGACTTCAGAATTTAGGGTTTAAGGTCTTGGGGTTTGGGGTTTGTTCAAGGATTTGCGGCTCACGGTGGCGGGGATCTGAGAGTGGGAGAGTTGGCATCGACACATCGGATGCAGTTCTACTTCGCTGAAGCTGACAACCCTAAACCTCGGAGTCATAATTGTACACCGTAGCCGTAAAGTTTAGAGGCTAAACCTTAAACCCTAGACCCCCCACACCCAAACCCCAAACCCCAAACCCCAAACCCCAAACCCCAAACCCCAAACCCCAAACCCCAAACCCTAAACCCTAAACCCTGAACCCTGCACCCTGAACCCTAAACCGTAGACTCTACCCGTAAGAACCGTTGGACACTCTAGACCCTAGCCTGGGAGAAGGCGCTCCGGCGGCGCCCACGGGCACGGGTTCTTCAGCCAGGGTCTTGGAGACCCTAAACCCTAAACCCTAAACCCTAAACCCTAAACCCTAAACCCTAAACCCTCAACATGAAACCCTAAACCCTAAACCCTAAACCCAAAACCCTAAACCCTAAACCCTAAACCCTGAACCCTAAACCCTAAACCCCAAACCCTAAACCCTGGTTTAGGCAGGTCTTGGGTTTAGGGACATAAAACCCCAAGCCCGAGTCGCCGCCCAAGGTCTGCGTAGGTGGGACGTCTTCGGCTAACCACAAAGCGCACACTGCAACCCGAGGTAAGGGTTTATAGGGTTTAGGTTTTAGGGTTTAGGGTTTAGGGTTTGGGGTTTGGGGTTTGCGATCTGGGGTTTGGGGTTTAGGGTTCAGGGTCTAGCGTTTAGGCTTTAGTCTTTAGGGTTTAGTGTTTAAGGATGTAGTTGCCCGTTTATTCCCCTTACAGCCCGTTTGCCTCCTTAACATAGACTGCCCAAATTACCCACCGCCACTCATCAGGCCACCCCATATTATGCACTCAGCAGTGGCCATTTTTTGTTGGGCTCCTGATTCTCATGCGGAGGAGGTGCCCCTCAAAAGGACAAACACGGAGAGCCCATAAGCCAGCCAATCCTGCCATTGAGGCAAACGGCAGTACGTTTTTAAAACCCTAAGCTCTAAACCCTAAACCCGAAACCCTGAACCCTAAACCCTAAACCCTAAACCCTGGAAAGCCTCGCAGCCAAGCGTTTGATGGGTATGCGCTGCCCTTATGGCTGGGCTCATGCTCTACTATAGGGGTAGAAACAGCCCTTATGGTCCTTATATCATGATGTTATAAGAACCCTCAAAAACCCGTGTTCCAATGATTAAGGCCCCTATATTAGGGCTGAAACGAAGCCTCGCGTCTCAACGGTTTTGGGTTCCTTGCGCACTTCTAGCATCCTAGCCCAAAGCCCTCGATCCTAAAGACTTCATGAAAACACAAAGGCCCACCTCCAAGTTTCTAAAGTAGGTTTCGCTACGGGCCCAAACCCTAAACCCTAAACCCTAAACCCTAAACCCTAAACCCTAAACCCTAAACCCTAAACCCCTAACAGCCCGTTAAGCAAATCAGAGTGATTCCCAAGCCCAAAACCCGAAACCCGAAACCCCAAACCCTAAACCCTAAACCCCAAACCCCAAACCCCAAACCCTAAACCCCAAACCCTCAAGACAAAATATATACAAATTGTATGTGGTATCATTTTGGATTTCCCGGTTGTTCGTCTAAACAGCAGGCAGGCCGAGTTTAGGTCCTCAATTTACTCAAACCTCTGGCCTCCCCCCGTTCCCCTCTCCCCCTTCCCCGCCCTTCCCCCCACCTCCCCCCCCCCCCCCCCCCCCCCCCCCCCCCCCCTTCCCCCCCCTTCGCCCTCCCCCCTTCCCCCTACCACCTCCAAAAAAATGAAAGGCATAGTTCCAAAAAACAAAACTTGCGGTCAAAACCTTCGGTCAAGACGTTTCGGTCAAAACAACGTCAAAACTTATTAGGACCCAAACCCTATACAATTTCTTTTATCCCTAAACCCTAAACCCTAAACCCTAAACCCTAAACCCTAAACCCTAAACCCTAAACCCTAAAGCCTAAACCCTAAACCCGAAACCTTGTCTGGGGGGTGTGGAGTCGGGGCATCTTCCCAGGCCCCAGCAGCGGCAGCCAAGGAGTCGGTCTCAAGTCAGCCCAGCTCCTTGGACGCTTAGTGACCTCTCTTTAGGGTTTAGGGTTTAGGGTTCAGGGTTTAGGGTTTAGGGTTTAGGGTTTAGGGTTTAGGGTTTAGGGTTTAGGGTTTAGGGTTTAGGGGTTAGGGTTTAGGGGTTTAGGGTTTTGCGATTTGAGCTTTCGGGGTTAAGTCAGCCCAGCCCCTTGGCGATTCTTGAAAGTTTAAGGTCCCCTGACAGGGTAGGAGTTTAGGGTTTAGGGTTTTGGGGTTTGGGGTCTTGGAGTTTGGGGTCTAGGGTTTAGGGAAAGTTTAGGGTTTAGGGCTCAAATTAGGGCTTAGGGTTCTCTTGTATGGGCTACGTTGACCCGAAGTTTGGGATGCATGTGTTCCTCTTGTACTCCTGGCCTAGCAATGATTCTGTGGCTGCCCACAAACCCTCAAATGACTGTGATGCCCTAAACCTCAAGCCCCCCAAAAAGCCTGAACAGCACTTATTAGTGATTGGGGTAACCGACAAATGGCTGTTTCCCCAAAATAGGGGGACCCCTTTTATACCCAAGCCCCAAGCCCCAAGCCCCAAGCCCCAAGCCCTAAAGCCTAAAGCCTAAACCCTAAACCCTAAACCCTGAACTGAAGAGTCCCTGCTGCAGGCGCCAGCGCGCCGTTCGCCGCTCCGGCGCCTCCGCCGGGCGCAGCAAGGCTGCAGTAGACTTGCAGGCCCCGCGGAAAGTAGGGTCTAGGGTTTAGAGTTTAGGGTTTAGGGTTTAGGGTTTAGGGTTTAGGGTTTAGGGTTTAGGGTTTAGGGTTTTAGGGTTATGGGGTTTTAGGGTTTACGGTTTCGGGTTTAGGGTCTGGGTTGAGGGCTTTCATGCTTAAACGGGACGTTCAACCTAAGATATCACACTGGCAAGCCAGTTACGGGCCCTTTTTCGACTGCAGTACTGCCATGTACCTGGGTACTCACAAACTTGTTTAAACAGGGTCTAGAGAAAGTATGCCGCTAACTCCGTGATGAGGGTTTGGGGATGAGGGTTTAGGGTTTGGGGTTGAGGGTAGGCATATGAGGCATAAGGAGATGAAGAGTCGGCCGGCGGCGTTTTTTAGAAGCTTAAGGGCCAAGTGAACCCTCAAATCCGGACCAGATGCCCCCAGGCGTCGCACATGAACCCCAGAGACCCTAAACCCTAAACCCTAAACCCCAAACCCCAAACCCCAAACCCCAAACCCCAAACCCTAAACCCTACACCCTAAACCCTAAACCCCTAAACCCTATCCATGTGTCCTCCGATCCGTGGCGCATGAGGGTGAACCAGGCCCTTGTTCGCAGGTGTCCGCTTTCCTTGGAGGCTACATGGATGAGTGTCCACATATTTATTCAGGGTTTAGGGTTTAGGGCTTGGGGTTTAGGGTTTAGGGTTTAGGGTTTGAGGTTCAGGGTTTAGGATTTAGGATTTCGGGTTTAGGGTTTGGGGTTTGGGGTTTAGGGTGGTTCATACTTCAGTGGGGGACTATCATGGAATTGGGTGGATGATCCAACCTTTGGGTTCATGTAGCCAATTCAACTGGTGAGCTGTAAGCCCCAAGCCGTTTAAAGCTTCAAGCTTACAGGGTTAGGGTTCAGGGTTTAGGGTTTGGGGTCTGGTGTTTAGGGGTTTAGGGGTTATGGGGTTTAAGTTTCTGCGGTTTAGGCAGGAGCACTGCGTGCGCGCCGGAAGAAGGGATGATGGCCCTAAACCCTAAACCCTAAACCCTAAACCCTAAACCCTAAACCCTAAACCCTAAACCCTAAACCCTAAACCCTAAACCCTCAACCCTCAACCCTAAACCCTAAACCCTAAACCCTAAACCCTAAACCCTCAACCCTCAACCCTAAACCCTCAACCCTCTGACACTGAAGGCGCCATCGACTTGATGGCTTGTCGTCGTGCTTGCGATCAGCCTTCATTCTTCTACTTGACCTCCGTGGACGGCACAACAATTGCCCTGGATTCGATTCTGAGTGGAAAGACAGATTTCGCTACAGCCCATGCTGTGCACGAAGGCTGGCTGCGGCTGAGTGCCTGCAGGTGGCCTGGGGCGGCTTGCCGAGCACCGAGCAGCGCAAAGATCACCCTGAACCCTGAACCCTAAACCCTAGACCCTAGACCCTAAACCCCAAACCCTAAACCCTAAACCCTAAACCCTGGATCCAAGGTGCCGGCGGCCCCTTTCCAAGAGACAGGGGCCGCCAGCCAGCCCACCTTCCCAGGCTCGGACTCAGGCGTTCGTTAGGGTGTAGGGTTTAGGATTTCGGGTTTAGGGTTTAGGGTTTAGGGTTCTCAGGGTTTAGGGTTTTATTTCCCCTGTGAAACAACAAAGGGCAGAACCTTTCTTGGTTCGTAGGATTCTCTGGGCCCTGGTGGGCGCTGCTCCTGCCATCCGTTCGACGGGGCTGGGAGCTGGGGGGATCGGGGGATTTATGCAGAGTGAAGTCAGCAAGCAAAACCGACAACGCAAGAGAATTATGAGCCCCCTAAACCCTAAACTCCATTGCTTGTGTGGGCTTTACACACCATGCAACATGCGTCTGATTCCCAGTGAGGAGCTGGCGCAGAGACGCGGGTAGCCCGCCAGAACAAAAATGCAGCTGCGAGCTTTCGATGCGGTTTAGGGTTCCCTGACAGCGTCGCTCCGGGATTATTCAGTCTTGGAAGTTCTGCAGAGCAAGAGCAGAGTAGGTGCCACCTTCGCAGCCGCCGCGGCCCTGACTTCACCGAGCGCAGCGTGGCTTAAGCCCTGAAAGCCCAGGCACCGGCAGACTTCTTCGCAGCAACTGACCCGCGGACAGGGGGATGCTGGGCCGAGCGCTTCAGGCGGATGGTTGTCAGGTCACATCAGGTCGAGGACCTGTGGCATCCATTCGCAGCGATGTCTTCAAGCCCGATGATGCACGACCCCTGAACCCTAGACCCTGAACCCACATGGTCTTAGTCGCTCCACTTTGGGCTTTCAGGCCGCGCGGGGTCCCTAAGAGCCTTTCAGGGCCAGGGTTCAACGTTTAAGGCTAAGGGTTGAAGTTCAGGATTTTTGCTCTTTGGGTTGGTTCAAGAGGTTGCGCGTTGAGGGTATTGAGGGCAAGCTGTTTAGGGCTTAGGGTTTAGGGTTTAGGGTTTAGGGCTTAGGGTTTAGGGCTTAGGGTTCATAGGGTTTGTTCTCTTTCACGTGCCGGAAGCGCCTGACACCCAATAACCTGGATAGCATTTTGCGGCAGGGCCGGGCGAACCTCTCTGCTCCCAGACCCATGTGCCAGAACCGCTAGGGTTTTGGGTTTCGGGTTCAGGGTTCAGGGTTTCGGGTTTAGGGTTTAATTAGGGTGGTCAAAATGCACGACACGCCCTGTAGGAGAAGTTTCGGGTTTAGGCCTTCGACAGTTCTGCCCGGAGGCACGAGTGCGATGTTCGCGGCGACGGCACCCGTCGCCGTGCCTGGGCTGGCATTTCGGGTTTGGGGTTTAGGGTTTAGGATGTTTCCCGAAGGGACAACATAGGCCCTAGCCCCTCATTAACTCTCAAATTCCATCCCTGTGCCATAAACCAGCCCTAGTCCAAAAAGCCTGAAGCTCTCCGCCTTCAGTTTGGGGGTGTTCAGGGTTTTGGGGCTCAGGGTCTCGAAGCCTCAAGGAGAATCTGGGTGTTGCTTTTCTCGGACCCCTCAGTGCGCAAGAGGAGATTGGTGCTGCATGATGTGTGGGTTGAAACATTACATACTTGTACACTTCCAGGGGCCGTATAAACCCTAACACTAAACCCTAAACCCTAAACCCTAAACCCTAAACCCTAAACCCTGAACCCTAAACCCTAAACCCTAAACCCTATTCCCTAGAGGCCCTGTATCGCCCGTAGACATGGCTTTTCTTATTGGGGATTCCGGACTCCACCTCGCCGACTCAGTGGCTTGAGGGATTCTTGGCTTTCTAGGCTGGGATATGAATACGTACTATGGGTTTAGGGTTTAGGGTTTGGGGTTTAGGGTTTAGGATTTAGGGTTTAGGGTTTAGGGCAGTTCCAGTTCTTCAACTGTCCTTGCATGAGAGCGCCCAAAGCACACCAGACCCACTTGAGACCCGAAACTGTTAAGGGGGGCATGTTTTGGTGGATCTAAACTCTAGGCCTTTTTAGAAATACTTCGACCTACAAGCAACGTACTGGACTATAGACCCCAAACCCTCTTAGGGTTTAGGGTTTAGGGTTTAGGGTTTAGGGTTTAGGGTTTAGGGTTTAGGGTTTAGGGTTTAGGGTTCCACGGTTCAGAGGTGAGAGGGATGAGTGTGACTTTGCAAGGAGCCCTGTTCGGGCGACAGCCAGTCGAGCTCCTTGGCACGACGGGTTTAGGGTTTAGGGTTTAGGGGAACGGTGTATATCCGGAGTTTGGGGCTAACGCTGTTCAAATCTTAAGATCACGAAATAACGGTTCGAAAGCCCTTGAACAACAAGTTTTTGGGTTCTTCAGGCCCTAGATCTAGCACCCCTGGACTAGACCCCATGCTTGTATGATCAGCAGGGTGGCTAGACGTAGGATTGGTAGTACCCCGAGTGTGGTTCTATCCGGAGAAAGCACGAGATACCCTTGCAGCCCTAGCTTGAATTAGCTATGTGGAACTTCCCAATTAACGCCCCTAAACCCTTCTGAACACAATGGAGCACCCTAAGTCTCATGCGCTATATCCCAAGACCTGAACAGACCTGAACCGACAAGAACCCTAAAACCCAAAACCCTAAACCCTAAACCCTAAACCCCAAACCCCAAACCCTAATCCCTACAGCTCCGTCGCGTCGTTGCTGGGCCGAGGCACGAGTGCACCCTTCGCTGCCCCGCCAGCTGCGGCTGCGGTGTCCCGGCCGAACATTCCTCAACCCTATCCCTTAAACCCCAAACCCCAAACCCCAAATTTAAGAGCCGGAGGCTCAAGCCGCCGACCCCGCTGGAGCATAGTTGAAAGGTTTAAACGCGTTCGTTACGTCAAAGGTTAGGTCAAAGGATGCCAAAGTTGGTGGGGGGGGGGGGGGTAGGGGGGTGGGGGGGGGGGGGCAAGGGCGGGGGTGGGGGGGGTGGGGTGGGGGGTGGGGGGGGGGGGGAGGGGGGGGGGGGGTAGGGGGGGGGGGGGTAGGGGGGGGGGTGGTAGGGCGTGAGTTTATGTTGTGTGGTGGCCGTGCCCTTCATGAAAAGCTGCCCGGGGTTTACCCCACCCCCTTTTGGGGTAAGGAGGGAAAGAGGCTCCTTTTCCCATCCAACACGCCGCCAGGGTCGGCGGACCTTAAACCCTAAACCCTAAACCCTAAACCCTAAACCCTAAACCCTAAACCCTAAACCCTAAACCCTAAACCCTAAACCCTAAACCCTAAACCCCAAACCCTAAACCCTAAACCCTAAACCCTAAAGCTCCGCTGAGCAGAGCTGGTGGGCTCAGAGTGGCACCGTGGTCTGCTCTGTTAATTGAGGGTTTTCGATCATGCGATCATCCGGATGCTGAAGAACCTTTGGTTGCAACAGAATTCAAGGGACGAAAGGAGGGGACCCTTAATAAGGGAACTTCGAGGTTCTTTAGGGCTTCTTGAGGGCTTTTTTAGGGGCGACTTAGGCATAGAATCTCTCTTGCTCCGGCCATGTCTCCCTTTCACTCCGTTCGTGCGCGTTGCAGTTGTGGATGCATTTGCTGTTTGTCATTCTGGCCCAGAAGTTTCCTTCTAAGCCCTAGACCCGAAAGCCCTGAACCCTCCTTTGGTTGAATCTACCTAGCGTGGCAGGCGTGTGCGCCGGATGTGGGGTTTCTGGGCCACTTTGTCTTCCGCAGACTTCCCTTTGCCGCTTTAGTGCTTTCCTGGTGTAGCAGGTCTCTTCCTCCGTCTCTTCCTTCTGGTCTTCGTCCTGTCTGTTTAGGGTTTGGGGTTTTAGGGCTTTAGGGTTTAGGATGTATTCCGGGTTTAGGTTTAGGGTTGAGGGTTAGGGTTTAGGATTTAGGGTTTAGGGTTTAGGGTTTAGGGTTGAGGATTTAGGGTTTAGGGTTTAGGGTTTAGGGCAGTGGAAGCGGGTCTAGGTGCAACGCTGGGAGGTCCCGTTTGGCGCTGGTGGAAGCCAGCCGAGCTTCTTGGCTGCCAAAGCCCAGCATTCTGTGTCATGGGTTTAGGGTTTAGGGTTTAGGGTTTAGGGTTTAGGGTCTACTTGGAGGGTTCATGGTACTTATTGACCAGCAACAACTGTACTTATAACCCTCTTAAGTGCCCAAATATGGTTATAAGTACAGTTATAACTCGTTAATACGTACCATGAACCTCCAAGTACCCGCCCCCAAGACTACCCCCCCAAGGCTCCCCCCTTAGATAACCTGAATTAGGCTTAGTTAGCCCGAAATAGCCTGAATTATGGGGGGCAACCTAGGGGGTAGTATAGCGGGGGGCAGAAGGGGAACCCATGACTATGCTTCTCCTGAATCTCGAGCCTCAGTCGCCGCGAAGATCCTGATCGCAGGAGTGGCTGGCTTACCCAGAGGGTCGGTTCGTAGCATTGCTTATGTTGCCCCAAACTGGCCAGTCAGAATACGGTTCAACAGCCCTAAACCCTAAACCCTAAATCCTGAAAACTAAACCCTAAGCCTTAAACCCTAAACAGGAAGTATATCCACAGGTTTACAGACAGCTTCCTGGCTCCTTCTGTTAGAGTTGCGGCATCGCAAGGCGCAAGCGGCCTCTTTGCGGCCTCTGCGGCCCCTGCGGCCCCTTGGGCCCCTGCGGCCACTGCGCCAGGGCCATCGCCCGCTGCATCCCGGCCGTCGTATAGAGCAGGGCTGAGCGGTTTGATATCTAGAGTAGCCATTCGTCTGTATAGGTATAAAGCTATATATTCACATCCGAACCCTCTACACTGACCCATTTCGGGGCAGCTAAATGCATCATGGTGGGCTCTCCTGAAAGGTCCATACCCTGCTTCCTAGTCAGGCTCGCTTAAACCCTATAAGCTCTAAACCCCTAAACCCCACTTGAGGTTCACAAGCAGTGCCCTATCCTTGCTTGGGTTACGAAGAATCCTACTTCTATAACTGCCCATGAATCTTCACAAATCCTAAACTGGAGTCACAGAAGAGGGTGTTGGCTTTTTTTACATCTATATAGTACGTAGAATATTTTACAATATAGAGTTTCTTGATGTCATAATAACTAATTGTAACGCTACGCGACCCGCCTCGGCCCGGCCCAGCGCATCCGCGTGAGCATGGTGATTCCGCAGCGCCCAAGTCGCTGGACCCCAAGCAATAAGGGTTGGGTTTAGGGTTTAGGGTTCCGGGTTTATGGTTTATGGTTTGGGGTTTACGGTTGAGGGTTAGTTTAGGATTGAGGGCTTAGGGCTCAAGGTTCATGCTTTGGGGTTTAGGGTTTTTTTGGGTGTAGGGTTCAAGAGACGGTTCGGCTTGGATTGATCGTAGGGTTGAGCCAGGCCCCTCAAAAGGGGTAGGGGGGGTGGGGGGGAAGGGGGGCAGAGGGGAAAGGGGAGCTGAGATTTAAGGTTTAAGGTTTAGGGTTTCGGTTCAAGCTTAGACTCTTCGGCTAGCCCGCTCACCAATATTCTGTAGTGGCTTTGGGCGGCGAAAAGGGGAGGGGGTCGAGGTGGGGGGGGGAAAGGGGGGGGGTGGGGGGGGGTGGGGGGTGGGGGTGGGGGGAAAAGGCCCCAGGGGGGGGTACCCATTTGAGGCAAAAAAAGGGTCCGAGAATTGGCTTTGGGTGTGGGGGGAGGATTTGGAGGGGGGTGCCTGTTCTGACAACCTATACACCTCCGGCCTGAGGCCTCGGCGGATATCATGCATTGCAATACCATACAGTGTTATGTCATCTATCATGATCAAACATGATAGAATAGGGAAATGTAAACGCACACATGCAGAATTACATGATAGATTAATTTTTGTGTGTATATCATATATATATATATATTTACTTATTGCTACTGTTTAGTCTCCAGCCTACTGCTCCAAGGAGCCCTTCAACAGCCCACCGAGCCGCTCGGCACGCAGCCTTTCAAAAGATCCAGCCCTGACACCTAGCTAAAGGTACCCCAAACCAAGCACAGTCTGAACCCTACACCCTAAACCCTAAACCCTAAACCCTAAACCCTAAACCCTAAACCCTAAACCCTAAACCCTAAACCCTAAACCCTAAACCCTAAACCCTAAACCCTAAACCCTAAACCTTAAACCCTAAACCCTAAACCCTAAACCCTAAACCCTAAACCCTAAACCCTAAACCCTAAACCCTAAACCCTAAACCCTAAACACACACAGACACACAAACAAACACACGAAGCCTAAACACTAGAAGTCTATGCCAGCCCCCAAGGGCAGAAACTCCGAAAAGGCCCTGCGCCGTTGCAGTTCCCGATCGATGGGCTAAGTGTTCAAACCCGAACCCCTAAGCCCTCAACCCTCAACCCTCAACTCTGAACCTTGAACCCTAAACCCCTCTAAACCCTTAACCCTGAACCCTGAACCGTAAACCCATCTAAACCCTAAACCCTGAACCCTGAACCCTAAACCCATCTGAACCCTAAACCCTGAACCTGCACCTAGACCTACTGGTCCCATCAGCCGAGCTCCGATGTCAGCGTAGGCGCCACGTCGCCCTTTGGGGCGCCGGCCGGCCCCAGCGAGCCTGTCGAGGTGGAGCGCAGACTCACGGGGTGTCGGGCTTGATGTTCAGGGTGGCACCGTGGTCTGCTCTGCTAATTGAGGGTTTGCGAGCATGCGATCATCCGGATGTTGAAGAACCTTTGGTTGCAACAGAAGTCAAGAGACGAAAGGGGACCCTTATAGGGGTACTTAGGGGCTATTTAGTGCTTCTTTAGGGCTTCTTTAGGGGCTACCTAGGTATAGAATCTCTCTTGCGCTCCGACCATGTCTCCCTTTCACTCCGTTCGTGCGTGTTGCGGTGTGGATACAGCTGGTGTTTGTCATTCTGGCCCAGTAGTTTCCTTCCAAGCCCTAGACCCGAAAGCCCTGAACCCTTCTTGGTTGAATCTACCTAGCGTGGCAGGCGTGTTCTCTTCCTCTGTCTCTTCCTTCTGGTCTTCATCCTGTCTGTTTAGGGTTTGGGCCACTTGAGGTTCACAAGCAGTGCCCTATCCTTGCTTGGGTTACGAAGAATCCTACTTCTATAACTTATAACTGCTCATGAATCTTCACAAATCCTAAACCGGTGCCACAGAAGAGGGTGTTGGCTTTTTTACATCTATATAGTACGTAGCATATTTTGCAATATAGAGTTTCTTGATGTCATAAAAACTAATATCATGCATTGCAATACCATACAGTGTTATGTCATCTATCATGATCAAACATGATAGAATAGGGAAATGTAAACGCACACATGCAGAATTACATGATAGATTAATTATTGTGTGTATATCATATATATATATATATATATTTATTTACTTATTGCTACTGTTTAGTCTCCAGCCTACTGCTCCAAGGAGCCCTTCAGCAGCCCACCTAGCCGCTCGGCACGCAGCCTTTCAAAAGATCCAGCCCTGACACCTAGCTAAAGGTACCCCAAACCAAGCACAGTCTGAACCCTACACCCAAAACCCTAAACCCTAAACCCTAAACCCTAAACCCTAAACCCTAAACCCTAAACCCTAAACCCTAAACCCTAAACCCTAAACCCTAAACCCTAAACCCTAAACCCTAAACCCTAAACCCTAAACCCTAAACCCTAAACCTTAAACCCTAAACCCTAAACCCTAAACCCTAAACCCTAAACCCTAAACCCTAAACCCTAAACCCTAAACCCTAAACCCTAAACACACACAGACACACAAACAAACACACGAAGCCTAAACACTAGAAGTCTATGCCAGCCCCCAAGGGCAGAAACTCCGAAAAGGCCCTGCGCCGTTGCAGTTCCCGATCGATGGGCTAAGTGTTCAAACCCGAACCCCTAAGCCCTCAACCCTCAACCCTCAACTCTGAACCTTGAACCCTAAACCCCTCTAAACCCTTAACCCTGAACCCTGAACCGTAAACCCATCTAAACCCTAAACCCTGAACCCTGAACCCTAAACCCATCTGAACCCTAAACCCTGAACCTGCACCTAGACCTACTGGTCCCATCAGCCGAGCTCCGATGTCAGCGTAGGCGCCACGTCGCCCTTTGGGGCGCCGGCCGGCCCCAGCAAGCTGTAGAGGTGGAGCGCAGACGGGGGTGTCGGGCTTGATGTTCAGGGTGGCACCGTGGTCTGCTCTGCTAATTGAGGGTTTGCGCATGCGATCATCCGGATGTTGAAGAACCTTTGGTTGCAACAGAATTCAAGGGACGAAAGGAGGGGACCCTTAATGAGGGAACTTCGGGGTTCTTGAGGGCTTCTTTAGGGGCTACTTAGGTATAGAATCTCTCTTGCTCCGGCCATGTCTCCCTTTCACTCCGTTCGTGCGCGTTGCAGTTGTGGATGCATTTGCTGTTTGTCATTCTGGCCCAGTAGTTTCCTTCTAAGCCCTAGACCCGGAAGCCCTGAACCCTTCTTGGTTGAATCTACCTAGCGTGGCAGGCGTGTTCTCTTCCTCCGTCTCTTCCTTCTGGTCTTCGTCCTGTCTGTTAGGGTTTAGGGTTTCGGGTTTAGGGCTTAGGGTTTAGGATGTATTCCGGGTTTAGGGTTTAGTTTAGGGTTTAGGATTTAGGGTTTAGGGTTTAGGGTTGAGGGCAGTGGAAGGAGGTCTAGGTGCAACGCTGGGAGGTCCCGTTTAGCGCTGGTGGAAGCCAGCCGAGCTTCTTGGCTGCCAAAGCCAGCATTCTGTGTCATGGGGTTTAGGGTTTAGGGTTTAGGGTTTAGGGTTTAGGGTTTAGGGTTTAGGGTTTAGGGTTTGGTTAGGGTTTAGAGTCTACTTGGAGGTTCATGGTACTTATTGACCAGCAACAACTGTACTTATAACCCTCTAAGTGCCCAAATATGGTTATAAGTACAGTTATACTCGTCAATAAGTGCCATGAACCTCCCCTCAAGACTACCCCCCCCAAGGCTCCCCCTTTAGATAACCTGAATTAGGCTTAGTTAGCCCGAAAAATCCTGAATTATGGGGGGAACCTAGGGGGGGTAGTATAGCGGGGGGCAGAAGGGCATGACTATGTACTTATGAACCAAAAATAACTGTACTTATAACCCACTCATAAGCCCCTAGGATGGTTGTAAGTGCAGCTATAGTTCGTTATAACCCCCCCCCCCCCCCCAAGGTTCCCATTTAGTTAACCTGAATTAGGCTCAGTTAGCCCGAAATAGCCTTAGTTATGGGAACCTAGGGGGGGTAGTATAGCGGGGGGCAGAAGGGGAACCCATGAATATGTTTCTCCTGAATCTCGAGTCGCCGCGAAGATCCTGATCGCAGGAGTGGGTGGCTTACCCAGAGGGTCGGTTCGTAGCATTGTTTATGTTCCCCCAAACTGGCCATTCAGAATACTGTTCAACAACCCTAAACCCTAAACCCTAAACCCTAAACCCTAAACCCTAAACCCTAAACCCTAAACCCTAAACCCTAAACCCTAAACCCCAAACCCTGAACCCCAAACCCCAAACCCTAAACAGGAAGTATATCCACAGGTTTACAGACAGCTTCCTGGCTCCTTCTGTTAGAGTTGCGGCATCGCAAGGCGCAAGCGGCCTCTTTGCGGCTGCGGCCCCTGAGGCCCCTGCGGCCCCTTGGGCCCCTGCGGCCCCTTGGGCCCCTGCGGCCACTGCGCCAGGGCCATCGCCCGCTGCATCCCGGCCGTCGTATACAGCTGAAGGGCTGGGCGGTTTGACATCTGGAGTATATACTAGTATGTCTAGTTTTCAGCTAGATTCACTTCCGAACCTCTACTTTGATGGTGCTCAGAGTTTTCGTCCTGAAAGCTCCATACCCTGATTCCTAGTCAGGCTCTAAGCTCTAAACGCTCCTTACTTGGGCTACCTTATAAGCCTACTTCTAACAACTGCCCATGAATCTTCACAAACCCTATGCCGGAGTTACAGAAGAGGGTGTTGGTTTTTACATCTATACAGTTACAATAGAATATAACATAGAGTGTAATATCATTCATTGTAATACTATACAGTATTATGTCATCTATCATGATCAAGCATGATATCCGGACATGTAAAAACACACATACAAAATTTCATGATAAATTCATATGTGTGTATATTATATATAAATATGTAAATATACATATACATATGTACATACATATTGACATATTTACATATACATATATATATATATACATATGTATATTATTACTGTTCAGTCTCCAGCCTGCAGCTCCAAGGAGCCCTGCAGCAGCCCACCGAGCCGCTCGGCACGCAACCTTTCAAAAGATCCAGCCCTGACACCTAGCAAGCCCTAAACCCTAAACCCTAAACCCTAAACCCTAAACCCTAAACCCTAAACCCTAAACCCTAAACCCTAAACCCTAAACCCTAAACCCCAAACCCCAAACCCCAAACCCTAACCCTAAACCCTAAACACACACAGACACACAAACAAACACACGAAGCCTAAACACTAGAAGTCTATGCCAGCCCCCAAGGGCAGAAACTCCTAAAAGTCCCTGCGCCGTTGCAGTTCCCGATCGATGGGCTTACTATTCAAACCCGAACCCCTAAGCCCTCAACCCTCAACCCTGAACCTTGAACCCTAAACCCCTCTAAACCCTGAACAGGATGTATATCCGCAGGTGTAAAGATAGCTTCCTGGCTCCTTCTGTCAGAGTTGCGGCATCGCAAGGCGCAAGCGGCCTCTTTGCGGCCCCTGCGGCCCCTGCGGCCCCTTGGGCCCCTGCGGCCACTGCGCCAGGGCCATCGCCCGCTGCATCCCGGCCGTCGTATACAGCTGAAGGGCTGAGCGGTTTGATATCTAGCGTAGCAATTCGTATGTATAGGTAGAAAGCTATATATTCACGTCCGAACCCTCTACACTGCCCCTTTTCGGGGCAGCTAAATGCATCATGGTAGGCTCTCCTGAAAGGTCCATACCCTGCTTCCTAGTCAGGCTCGCTTAAACCCTTTCAGCTCTAAACCCCTAAACCCCACTTGAGGTTCACAAGCAGTGCCCTATCCTTGCTTGGGTTGCGAAGAATCCTACTTCTATAACTGCCCATGAATCTTCACAAATCCTAAACTGGAGCCACAGAAGAGGGTGTTGGCTTTTTTACATCCATATAGTACGTAGAATATATTGCAATATAGAGTTTCTTGATGTCATAAAAACAAATATCATGCATTGCAATACCATACAGTGTTATGTCATCTATCATGGTCAAACATGACAGAATAGGGAAATGTACAGGCACACATGCAGAATTAGATTAATAATTGTGTGTATATCATACATAAAAAATATATATATACATATATATATATATTGATTTATTTATTTACTTACTTATTGCTATTGTTTAGTCTCCAGCCTACTGCTCCAAGGAGCCCTGCAGCAGCCCACCGAGCCGCTCGGCACGCAACCTTTCAAGAGGTCCAACCCTGACACCTAGCTAAAGGTACCCCTAACCAACCCTAAACCCTAAACCCTAAACCCTAAGCCCTAAACCCTAAACCCTAAACCCTGAACCCTAAACCCCAAACCCCAAACCCTAAACCCCAAACCCCAAACCCTAAACCCTAAACCCTAAACACACACACAGACACACAAACAAACACACGAAGCCTAAACACTAGAAGTCTATGCCAGCCCCCCAAGGGCAGGCAGAACTGGGCCGTTGCAGTTCCCGATCGATGGGCTAACTGTTCAAACCCGAACCCCTAAGCCCTCAACCCTCAACCCTCAACCCTCAACCCTCAACCCCTAAACCCCTCTCAACCCTAAACCCTGAACCCTGAACCCTGAACCCTGAACCCTGAACCCTGAACCGTAAACCCATCTAAACCCTAAACCCTAAACCCTGAACCCTAAACCCATCTAAACCCTAAAACCTGAACCCTGCACCTAGACCGACTGGCCCCATCAGCCGAGCTCCGATGTCAGCGTAGGCGCCACGCCGCCCTTTGGGGCGCCGGCCGGCCCCAGCAAGCCTGCAGAGGTGGAGCGCAGACTGTCGGGCTTGATGTTCAGGGTGGCACCGTGGTCTGCTCTGCTAATTGAGGGTTTGCGATCATGCGATCATCCGGATGTTGAAGAACCTTTGGTTGCAACAGAAGTCAAGGGACGAAAGGGGGGGACCCTTAATGAGGGAATTTCGGGGTTCTTTAGGGCTTCTTGAGGGCTTCTTTAGGGGCTACTTAGGTATAGAATCTCTCTTGTGCTCCCACCATGTCTCCCTTTTGCTCCGCTCGTGCGTGTTGCGGTTGTGGATGCAGCTCGTGTTTGTCATTCTGGCCCGAAGTTTCCTTCAAAGCCCTAGACCCGAAAGCCCTGAACCCTCCTTTGTTGAATCTACCTAGCGTGGCAGGCGTGTGCGCCGGATGTGGGGTTTCTGGGCCACTTTGTCTTCCGCAGACTTCCCTTTGCCG